GCACAGAAAGCTCCAGCAGCAGCAGCGCCACAACCTCAACTACTTCTAAAATGGAAGTTGACGACGAAGAAAAGAAACCAACGAAATCACCCAACCCTAACATAACTGTTCATGGTAAATCTGACAAGGATGCTGGAACATCAAAGGAAGTTAAGAAGGAAGAAAAAGAAGGTGATGAAAAAGAGGCTAAAGAAAAGAAGGAACCAGAGCCTAACTTTGAGATTTTGAGCAATCCTGCAAGGGTTGTGAGGCAACAACTTAAAGGCATTACTGTTGTTGAAGGATCTGGATTCATACCCTTGAAGGATGTTACAATTGGAGGTATTGTGATGCTCAACCATTCTGGTGATGTGGAACAAGTTCTTGTGGAGCCAGTTGCGGCTTTCGGCCCTAAGACCGAAGAGGAGAAAGAACCCGAGCCCCCAGAACCCTTCGAGTACTTAGATGACTGATATTGTCTCTTCACTTAAATTTCTTCATGTTACTAGCGATAGGACCACGTGAATCATAAATGTATTGAACAAGTTTATATAACAACATAAAATATTATTAAAGTACATAGTAACTGGAAATTATTGATGTGTTTTCTGTGAAATAAATAATTAAAATATAAGATTTATTCATTTCATTATATTTTCTACATGTTTTTTTTTATAATCACATTTTTATTAATACTACCCCAGAAATATAATGAACGAATTCATTCTTAAATGGACACTGAAGGAAATTAAGACAAAGCATAGTACAAATATCTCGTGGGCGTCGCCAGAGGGTGCGGGATGGGGTTAACCTCACCCCGTATATCGATTTCGAATGAAGCTACCCCCGCCCCACTCCTACACTTAGCCTAGGATATCGGCTGGTGACGCCCATGCTCTAGGTATACGTACTTTTTGTTTACTTTGTATTATTTATAATCTGTAGCCAATATCGTGTTGCCATATTACAGTTTTTTCCGCCAGACCGCGATTGTAGTTTTTATGCTTAAACGTAAATACTTTTACTTAATATTTATACTAAAAGGCTTCTAATTAATTTTAATGTAAAGAGCATTCTTGTAGTTCAGGATTTCTTGTTTATTTCTTTGTTCTTATGAAATGCCCGTCCTCGTTGGTATTTTAAATATGACAACACTTCGCTAGACAAGAAAATCAATATCAATATTGTGATTGGAAACGTTTGCTTTTGCGTCTCGTGAAAAGTAGAAGAATTTGTATAAAACACATTAAAAAAGTAAGGTTTAAATGTTTAAATGTGCAATTGTTTAAATGTTAAAACATTTAGAAATTGTATTGATGAATTCTAAAAACATATCTTGTTTTCAGCAATTTCTTCAGCTTGAACTAATATGAGATTCACGAATCCAAAAAAGATGGGCCCTGAGCTTAATTACGGCGATTTGTCCTACAGCATGGATCTGGTAGAGGATAGCGAGCAACTTAAGAATGATTTGATCGAAATAAAGGAGGTATTGGACCAACTTTTGCCTCTTAAGGCTCAATACAATACTCTGCCTCTGCCGGCGAAAATAGAACTCGACTTATTCCTCGTGTTTGCTCTGAATTCACTCCAATGGATAAAGCTGCAAATAAATGGCGTGGATCCTACCAAGTATCCCGTTGCGGGGGAATTGCAGCGCGTGAAAGTTGCTATGATTAAATGGCAGCAAGAGTGTGACCGTAATAAGAGACCCCGGCTCGATATACCGGTGGTGCAACGCTTCATTCGCGGTGGGCTGCGCATCAGAAATGCTGGCCAGCCCTACGCTGTAAACCAGCCAACACATGATGATACAGATGAAGATTATACCGATGAGGAGATGTAACTTTTTTCTCACTGATTTTATTCTCTTATATTCTAAGCAGTTTAAATTGACAATTTAAACTAGCTGCTGCTTGCGATTTCGTTGCCATGAAGAATAAATAAATTAAGTTTATTTTACTATATTAATATTGATAAGTGATGTAACCAAAGGATATAATTGTAACTTTCAATTTTCAATATATGTATCTGTATTTTAATGTAGTGTCTAGGTATATAATGTTCTTGAGCAGAATGGGGCTCGTATATCAAGAGTTGTTGAAGAAATTAAATAACCTCCAAATTTGGATAAAAATTATTTGTTACTTTTTATAGAAAACAAAATCTATTTTAACATCAAATGTCAAAGTATACATTTTTAAAAAATGTATTTAAACTTGAGTAATGATATAAGTATTATAATAATTTTTTTAAGTATAAAATACTAAGGAATAGTTTAACTAAGACATTCCAATGTAAACCCTAAACCATGACAAACTATAATTTATGATAATACTTTCAAATACTTGTATAAGCCATCCATTTTTTACAATATTTTGGGTGAAAGGCTATTTGTTAAATGCGCCATTAGGTTAAATGTTCAGGAGAGCCATTAAAGTCTTTTTAGAAAAATAAACAAATGTAAATCCTGGAAAAAATTTCAATAGAAAAATTTTCAGACCCGTTCTTTAATAAAATTACTATAATTCTGCATACTTCATTATTTATTTCATATTTAAAATTCTGAATATATGATTCAATATCGCGTAAAATGGCTGTTGAAATAAATAGCATTTTACCTGTCTATCATTTCTTTATTTAACAAAACTAAAAAAGGTAAAAAGTGAGGTATATTAGGAATTAAAACTCATGTAGTTTTTATTTATTTATTGCTCATCTATCACTGAACATTGTAAAAGTTCTTAAATAAATCATATATCATAAAAATTTTGTTTCCTTTTACAAGTTCCCGAAATGTATATTTTGGAATGTACAAACAAAAAAATTAAACAAACACAAGTTAAGTAATAAATCAATTCCATAAGCCTCCTTGCACATTAAAATCTTTGTTTAAATTTAAATAAAAATTTGCATTGTCATACAATTGGGACATACAATTTTGTTTTTTGACAATTTTTTTTACATGTGACTAGCAAATAAAATTAATAAACATTGATTTAAATAAAAAAAATATAGCGGGTTTAACAATTACAGTAATATAACAAACAAGATAAGTCACAATTAGATTTTGTTCTAGTTAATTAAAGTATAAAATAAGCAGTAACAGTGTAGACATAGCTGATAACTTAGTTGAGGTTTCATTGTAGACAGACCTTCAACTTTGCATACAAATAGACAGATATTAAGTATAAGCTCAAAAAACTACTACTGGTAGACTTACTGTTGTCTAAATAACTGATGGAAAATGGTACTGAAAATTCAATTATGCTTTAAAATATTTAAAAGATACTGCATGTGTCTATATTTGAATCTCTCTGTAAAAATATTGTTCATTTCCTTTGACAATTCAATTTATTACAAGATAGATTCCCACATGCTGTATTAGTCAATATAGTGTACAAATGTAAATTTAATAGAAAAGAGAAATTACAACCGACTTGACTAAATAATTTCACCTATTAAAAACAGATATATATGTGTCATCAAAACAGCGGAACTTTCCAAAATAAATTGATGAACAATAGATTTGTCAGTCAATGAAATGTACATGTCTCATTTCTATTGAATACAACAATTGCAACTATGGACAGACATGTTAAATATATAGCTATCTCACTCATTCTTATAGAAGAAATAGAGATAACACCGTTCAGTACATATTTGTAGTGAATTTTCATGTACTCCTCTTACTCTTTATAATAGTGACAATATTTTATAGAAAATGTTTGAATTAAGTCCGTTTTTTTAAGTACCAACAATAACTTGTACATTTTATTCCTTAATATAATTAATAAATCACTCCTGAACCATAAATAGACTCAGTCGACTTAGAAAGGAAGGGGAAATATGACCTTTCTCTTCACTTGATTAAATATAGACAAAGTTTCTGCAAATCTGGATGTCTAGGCAGTGGTTGCTTCGCGATTTTGGCGAATTCAGGGAGCTGCTTGTGTATTTGTCAATAAATCTATCCCAATGCACTTAAAATGTCAAAGTAACCGTAAATATTCCAAATATATCTTAATTTTGATACCAAACTATGATTTTTTCATATAAATAGGGCTCTGGCAAGTTTTAATGTTTTTATTTTATATTTCATGAAGTATAAAGATTATAAAATATTCTTTGATACATTAGGGATGTATAACATTTTGTCAATAATTTTTTTTAGAATAAATAACATATAAAATTAAGCGAGTTTACATTTAAATTTCGACCTGCAAAACCAAACCCGCTGCAGAGATATTGTCCCCCGCACCTGCAGTCAATTGAGCTTCCGTACAAATGAGTACTGGGGCGACACATATTTCAACTTTGTCACCTTCAATTGTCTCCTCCCAGCATGCCACTGGTTTATTAGGCTCGAAGAACACTCTACTATTATTATCATTACTCGTAGTTGTTGAAAAGCTGTCATCAAGTAACAATTTCGTCTTTTCAAGGTTAATATTCTTTGAATTGCAGACATATCTGTGTGCGGTCAGTGAGGCTTTAGCAGCTGCTGCAGCAGTTCTCTTCCAATCGGAATTTTGTACAGTTAAAATTGCTTGATACGCTAAAGTGTGTACATGCATTCTTGTCAACTTTCTTTGACTACCAAATGCGGTATTCTTCTCGCGTATAAGTTTGTATGTGTTCCTCATTTGGTCAAGTGCTGTCGCTACTCTCGGATTGGAGTCAGCGACCACAACAACGCGGCCATGTTCTAATACACTATTTAGGTTTGATAATTCTTGTTCATTCATACCAACCGAGTCGACAAATGGCAACACTTTAGTTGTAAGATGTTGAAGTAATTCTAGATCAACATAACTTGCCATCTCAAAATGGGCTAATGTGTTCAAAGGTTGTGATAAAATTTGTTCCTTGACTAGATCTAGTCTTTCCGCTCTTAAGTCTGTAAAATAAATGTGGTTGTTTTAATTCAGTTCTTGTTAAATTAGACAAGATTCTTATTATTATGTACATAATAAACTACAATATCTCTTTGGGACAAGGAAGACAAAACATTATCTAATAAGAATAAATTAAATTATGCAATGTAATATGTTTAAGGCAGTTATAGGGCTATAAACAATAAAGGCTAGCTAAATACTCAAATTGAAAGTAATACTGAATTTCTTTATATTGCTCAGGCAAAGACCTAAAGGTTTTTGGTTCTTACCTCTACCATCTTGTTTGAAAGGGAAGTTGTCCATCATTTGTAGACCACTAATGACTAGCAAATTGGGTTTGAAGTTCGGCAAATGTTCACCAACCTTCTCTAAGGAACTTAATAATGGATTGTTCTCATCATTATGCATGATGTATCTATTAGCTCTTGGAGCTTTGTATTTACCAAACATTGCATCAGCTTTATACTCTAATATCATATGAATATCATCTTTTACTTCCTCATTTTCATTATCACCAACTATGAGAATTTCTTCGGGGATGTAAGTTTTCAGTTTTTTACTCATCTTTGCCCCAAAAAGTACTTTCCAACCTTCAAGGAAGAATCTCTTTGCCATTAAGGGTGCATTTCCACCGATAGCCCATCTTGTGTCTGGCAGTTTAAGAGCTTGTTCCACTAGGTCATCATATAATTTGCTATTAGACATGAATCGCCTGAAAAAGTTTAAATGATAAATAACGTTAGGAATCCAATAGAAAAATTTAATTAAGGGGATCATAAAAAGTAAGTTTAAATTGATTTAACGTAAATGAAATAAAAAACAGAGTGCCATGAATATATAAAAGTCCAAAGGGACCTTTAGTCTCGGGTGTGCGTAATTTTTTTTTTACATTCATTTTTAATTTTTAATTCGATAAAATTGAATATTTTAATCAAATTAAAAACGAGTATACTTACTCAGCAGCTGCACCATGTTTGAAAAAATAAGTAAAGCTTTTAATAAATTCTTCTTTATTTGAGATCTCATTAAAGTGTTCAGGGCTGCCTTTAAGATCTCTGTAATCTAGAAGCGACGTTGCATTCACGAATAAATCGTGACATGCTCCATAACCTAAAGCTACCTTCGGCTGACTGTTTCCAACACCAACTTTGTTCTCACTCTCCAAAAACAGCAAATGATTCTTCACAGGTGATAATCTTTCATCACCTATGTCATTACCGCGGAAATAAACCGCATAAAACAGAACACAAAGCGAAATAAAAGAACCTAATTTCACCGGGGCGCCTGCCATTTTTAACATACAATTAAATATTTATGACTACTACTGGAATGATTAGACTTTTAACTTTAACTAGATCCACGTCACCTCATATTTAATATAATGGAATGTAAATATTTAATGTGGATTTAATCACAACTGACAACCATGCAATCGGCCACTGACTCGCTGTCAAAGTCAAAAAAATGACAAATGATAATCACGAATCACGATGATGAGACCGAGACGTCAGAACAACTGTGTCGCCAGTTTAAAACAAAATTTCCTACAAACGGAAAGAAAGTAAGGTCACCAACCACCATATAACTCTGAAGCAAAATATGTACATTTACCAATTAATTCTGCCGTTACATTTTCCTACAGTATTTAGGGTTTTAAGAGACCAAGTACTTTTCAATTTTGGGTCTAAATCAATTTAGAAATCTACGATTAGTGATAAAATAATACCAAACCATTTGAATTCTTTCAATTCTGGTTACACTGTTAGAACAAATATAGATAGATATATAGAGAGAGAGAGAGGGGGGGGGAGAGAAAGAGAGAGAGAGAGAGACAGACAGAGTTCTGGTTCTGTGATGTGTTTAGGGCTACATTTAAAAAATGTTTCAAAATAAAACAATCAGATTTTTTTAACCAAGTAAGGGTAAAAAATGGTCATTATAACCGATAAGTGATTTTAATGGAATTAATTCAATCCGGAATCCATTCGGACTACATATCAAGGACATTATTAATTAACCAAAGGATATTTCGTGCTTTCCTTAAAAAAATAAGGAAACTTTTTCGGTTTAAACATCTAATACGTCGAACTTACTATTAACTTGATAGCAATGGAAGATCATTGATCAAATCCTCATTTCTTCGACTAAGTTTTCAAAATAAATTAATATGAAAGCGATACGTTATCTAAAATCTAAATTAATTTCTTGCAACACTAAAATATGTTTAAAGATACTGATGCATTATACGTTAAGTAAATTGCAGATAGATTTAAACATTAAGCAAACAATGCAATCATTATCATAACATTATGTATTGCAATCTTAATAAGTCAATAATACGAAGTTTATTTTGTAAACTGGATACCTATTTCCTATTGCTAATGAAGTAGTTTTTTAATATTCCCTAAAGAATTCCAAAAGTGACAAAAAGCTGTTCTAACATTTATAAAGCTGACTAACATTTTGATCATTGTGGATGGGTCTATCTACATTAAAGAATCGTGCAGGTTTCAGTACGTGTTTATTATTAAAGTTGTAATCTAGCGTTGAATTAGATCGCTGGACTGGAATGAAATAAGCTGGTAACATTATTGTTGTTTATTCGTTGCTAAATGATTAATTTACATAATTAAAATTTGTTCACGAATACGTACTTGAATTGCTGAAAGTAAATTGTGAAATTTTGTCACTTACTTTACGCTATTATACCTGCTTTAACTGTTATCTTTTACAAATTTATTATCTTTAATTAAATTCACAGGAATTTTATCACTACACTGTTTACCACAGATTACGTAAACTTAAAATGAATATTTTATTGATCGTTCTATTTTAAACACTTTATAACTTCTTAGTAAACACGACTTAATATCTTGATTTATATGAATTTTGTGTGTAAAGTTTTAATATTGTAATTTTCTAACCATGTTATCATAAAACAATATTCAAACGGCTGGAGCCATTTTAACGTAACTTTTAGCGGAACGTAATTCAAGTAAAATCATTTTCATGAACAGAAAAAGGTCTTAGATTAATGACTTGAATGTTATTTAGGACAATTTAATTAAAAAAATTGACATACTCAGAGTCTATATGTCACATATGCCGTTCCCTAGTGCAGCACTATGAGAAAACACTAAGGCATTGCTTTGGTGACCAACTACACGGTATAGTAGTCATATAAATATTACAAATGCGAAAATTACAATGGATGGATGGATGTTTGTTAGCGTATGTAGCCTAAACGGCTAAACGGATCTCCATTAAATTTGAGACAGGTTTAGAGCATAGTCTGGAAGAACACATAGGCTACTTTTTATCCCGGGAATAGTTACGGTTCCCGTGGGATTCATTGATTTAGTTTTTTAATGTTTACCTGATCATTCTGCAACGGTTCAATATGTTTTATTGAAATTTGGCACAGATATAAAACAAAGTCTGGAGTACACATGGGATAAGGTTCATGCCCGAGAAATGTCCGGTCCCCGACGGATACGAAGCTTTTTGTAATTTAGATAGTTCGTATGTTTTCTATTAACACGCGGACGAAGTCGCGGGCAACAGCTAGTTAAAGAATAAAGTACTACGAACACGTTAAATTAATCACTTGCGGTATACGACACAAGCGATTTGCGCCTAAAGCTCTTAGCGACTCTTGTCTTACCATTTTAGGCGCAAGATGACCGGTCGCGCCTTTTGCAGTTTTATTTTTTCGGCTTTCGAAATTCGATTGCAGAGTACTTATAATACTTACCAAGCTTTCGTGATTTAATAATGTGTATTTATTGGGACAAAAAGTACTTTTAAATTATTCCTCGATGTTACAAAACTGTTATTATTTATTTGTAGCATACTTACCAGTAAAATAATGATATATTTTTAATCAACCCATCTTCAATTATTCACCACTGTTTTGCTTATTAATATTTGATATGCGGAGTTTATTGTTTTCATAGTTTAAAAGTGTTTTTCTAAAAGAATCTGTCGTAATAATTTAAAAATAATATTCTTTCATAAACAATAAAAAATATAATTCGTAAATGCTTGATATTTCACAGATAAAAAATATCTTATTTATGTAATTAATGTCACAATTGTTTCACTGGAGGTTAACAGTGAGATAAATGCTGCAATCGTGGATACAAAAGACAAAATTATCATTACTAGTCGAGTTTTTATTTGTCCGTGTGTAAATGATAAAGCTTTTTTAAGGTAAAAACTTGAGTAAAAGGCATAAAGTAGGCCTTATACGGTGGTCACGTATTGTTGCCGAAATAAATGCTGCAGATGAAATCTGCTGCGAATGTCTGGCGCCGGCGACCGTACACTTCAACCACCAACGCTATAGACTTGTGTAAAAGTTTTAAACTATTTAGTGTGTTGTTAATAAAACGCGTTTTACGGTTCGTTGGGCGCTGTCGCTGTCACTGCTTCATTTTCATTTTTGAAAACAAGTAGCTTTGGGCGCGGGTTCGTCCTAGCGGAATAAAAACATTAATAGTCAGTACGACTTTCGAAACTATAGCTCCGTAGTCTACCTCTATACCATATTAATCTGGTAAGAATTAATTGCTCTCTTATACTGCAAATGAATAAATAATTTTATCACTTGTTTTTTTATTGATGTCAATAAAAGATAATTCCATGAAAATGTATAAGTTCTTAGTTTAGTTGGTTATGAGAGGCTACATATCGGGTCGAATGATTCACTCGTCCGGCGAGGTCAGGATATCCAGTTGGCGGGAAATTAATGCGGAGAGCCTGCAGCTTGTTGCCATCGTGCGATATCGACTCTTGCTTCACAGCAACGCTTGTTTTCTGTTCATTGGCCTTTGCATCGTGTGTAATTCACAAATAAAAAAAAAAACGGTTTTTAATATACCATTTATCGAACATCGTAGCGATTTTGTAAGCCTACGCCCAGCAGTAGGACAAGGGGGCATTTTCCGCGTTAACAAATTTTCATTCTTAGTTCATTTCCCTAATATAAATGAGGGAGTACCTTTTTATAGAATTGTATTATAGAAGTCTTGGCTGCATGTATATATATGTATATGTACTATATTCAAAAAAGAAAAAAAAACATTTTTTTTTAACATGGCCGACACGTTTACATATTTATGAGCGGAATAAATATGCCTGGCTGCATATTTAAGAAGTAATTTTAAATTAATACATTACACGCACACTCGTATAACGGTAATTTTTTTTTCAACTTTTTACGTTATCTTAATCGGTCTTAATTATTTTTTTTCCACCGATATGCTTCGGCTGTGCTTTTGGTATGAAACGTCTTGTTGTATTTGTAATATATTCTTATTTATGCTCCATTACAAGTATGATTACAATTCTGTATGCAAATCTTTTGAGTCTTGGAATCGAATTTACAAATAATATTTCTTGAGTACAAAATGATAAAAATTAAACTGTGTTGTGGGACACGCTATTTAACTTCATTGTCAAAGATTAAACATGGATTCGCCTACTACACTAACATTATGAAGCGAAAAGATTTGTATTTTTAAATAACGAACAATTTCAAAAATTAACACAGACTATATATTTTTTGTACTTTTTTTTAAATTACGCGCGGACGTATTCGGCTATCAACCGTGCATTTATCTGTCTTATTCTCATCAAAAAAGATGAAAACATATTTTTTTAGGCATTTTGGTAAATAACTTTACAGTACAATTTAAAACTTAAATATTTTTTTAATTTCAGCTTCTGTCTCATCAATTGCGATGTCAATAAAACTAAAATTGCATAACTGTTGCATTTTAAAACTTATTCAAACAGCACGACATTGATTTGTTACAAAATAAATTTAAACTTGCGCGTTACGTTTTAAAAGTCGTTTAAAGTATTCGTTTACTTTATAAGGTGTAGTGTTGACATGGTGTTTGCTTAATACAGATTTGCATGTTAATTTCTGACAGCGGGAGATAAATATGCGGCCAAGAGTACGAGCCCTGCTGTTTTTTTTAAGGATAACGATCTTCGGTAAGGTAAGTAAATAGTACAATAAATTAAATTAAATTATTTACTACTGTAGGTGTTTGATAATTTTTTTCGATGAGCAAAAGTAAGGAAATGTGATATCTTTTGACGTAGGTTTCTATTTAAAAATTTAAAGCCTGATCGTCGCCAGTCGATGATCTAGGTTATGGGGGCTATTACATTTTTTGAGTGTATTTGTGTGTATTTGTGTATGTATTTGTGTATTGTGTGTGGGCAGCTGCCACCCGCCCCCTCTGGAAACGCCCCCGAAAAGACAAGGACACTGTTTCTTCACTTTTTTAGGCTGATATGTGTAACGATGCGAATACATATCAAGTTTGCGCAATTTCGGGTTTAAACTTATAAGGACTCAAGGTAAAACAGCTTATTTAAATACCTTTGTATTAAGATAATAATCAATTATGTATTATACAATATTAAATCACGAAAGTTTATGTATGCAACGAAAAAAAATC